TCATGCCCCCCCCCCCACTAGCGAAGTCTTAAACCTTTCTGGATCTCAAGTTCCCTGCTGATCAGCATGAGGCAGGACATGGACATATTAATTCCTATCTGATGTGAATTTTTATTTTTTGATGCAGAGGAAGAAAGGAGGTGACTTGGATGTCAAAGACATCCACAAAAGCTTTGAAAGAAGGGAAAGATGATCCATCTCACACTGTCCCTTCCAGATAACTGGTATTCTGTCACCCAGACCATCTGACTCTCTCCCAGCCCAGGCCTCCCTCTAGCTTCCCCAGCTCCCTGCCACATTCTCCCACTGCTCTGTTGAGCTGTGACTTTTTTGCAGCAGCTCTAGGAGTTGGGAGGTGGAGTCCCTGGGCCACAGTAAGGCGTGGCCAGTTGGTGAGCCTGCTCAGCTGTGTGACATTGGACATGTTAGTTGAACACTCTCAGCCTCTGTTTCAGACATTCCAGGAATCTAGGAGGTGGAACCTCTAAATAGGGGTTGGCAAACTGGCTCACTGTCTGTTCTGTAATACGTTTTTATAAATAAAGTTTTATTGGAACACAGGCACACACATTCCTTTGCCTGTGGCTGCTTTCATGCCACAGTGGCTGAGTTCAGCAGTTAAAACAGAAACCATATGGCTTCAAAAGCCTATCTGGACCTTTACAGAAAAGTTTGCGACCTAACACACATGAGCTGTATTTTGAATTATTTGTCTAGCACTTTAGGTCAGGTTTCTTAATTTGAGTCTGTGAACCACTTGGCAGTCCCAAGGACAAAGCACAGGATTAAAACCAGAGAACTGGGTTCCAGAGCTAGCTCAGTCTCTGACGTGATGTGCAAGCTCCTTCCCCTCTCGTACTTTCCCCATCCTGCCCCCTCACTCTGCTCCAGTCACATTGGCCCCTTGGCTGTTCCTGAAACCTTTCAGACGCACTTCAGCCTCAAGGCCTTTGCACTGGGTGTTCCCTTGCCTGGGATGCTCTCCCCTGAGGTATTGCTACACAGCTCACTCCCCAGCTCCTTAGTATCTTTGTTCAAATGAAACCCTCTCAGTGAGGCCAACCTTAATTCCCCTACTTAAAACCGCAACCCTGACCCCACCACTCTCAATCCATTACTCTGTTCTTTGTCTTTTTCCCACAGCACTTTCATCTTCTAATATACCATACGCTTTACTCATTTATTACATGTGTTATTTTCAATTCTCTGTCCCTTACACTAGGATATAACTTCCATGAGGTCAGGGATATTTGGTTTTTTTACTTGTGTGTCCCAGCACCTATAACAGTGCCTGACATACACAGTAGGCCACAACAAATATGTGACAAATGAATGGACATGCTGATGGCCCCCCTTACCCAGTGGCCATCTGAGGATCCCTAGGGTACCCCACTAAGTACAGTTTGAGAACCTATATTAGATCCACTTGGAATTCCTGTTCACTGAGTGAGGTCTCAGACACCCCTCTCCCTACCCCCTGCCCCACACAGATAGTTCTGCCAGCATCAAATGGAGAGGAATCCATACTCTGCTTTTTTCTCTGCTGGGCCTCTTGGGAGGGTACACTGCTCTTGGTGTGTGCGGCACATGTGCTCCCAGCCCTGGCCTAAGGTGGGATGGGACAGTGGGAGAAATGGAGGCACTGGGTAGGGGTGACTGGTCACCAGAAGAGTCACCAGGAAGGAATGACAGGGCCTCCCACCTCCCTTCTCTCTCATCTCCCAGGCCAGAGCCTAAGGTCCTCATCACTGCACGTATTTATTCTACAGATATGTGTCTACTGACTATTGCATGTGGGAAGCTGCAGCCAGGTAAGGGGCGCTGTGCAAACAGACGATGGCCCTAAGTCCGGCGGGGTGGAGTCAGGGAAGGCATCTCAGAGGGGTTTGTATGTGATGAGGCCTGAGGGAGAGGGAGAGATACTCAGGTAAAGAGAAGGGGGGAGGGGGCTCAGGCAGAGGGAACAGCATGTGCAAAGGCCGAGGGGGGGTGACAGTTCAGGGAACAGCTTGTCATTCAGTCTGACTACAACCTAAAGAAGGCTGGAGAAGTTGCCAGGGAGCTGACAGTGCAGGGCCCAAGGGTGCCAGCCCTACTAGGGTGTACATACTGTGGCCGCTGGTGTAGTGCTGCAGCTTGTCCGTGTACTCCGAGTCCGCACGCTCAAACCCCCGTCTTCTGGAACAAGAGCAAGGGCTGGAGCCACCTGGAGGCGCCCAGGGAGCTGGGAGCCACAGTGGGTGATAGGGAGAGGGTGGGCAGGCCCTTGAAACCACATCCCTGTCAGAGACCTCCCTGCCTGCCCCTCGCCTAGGAGCCTCACCCATCTGGCCCCACTCATCCCTTCCTACCTCTCCCACTTCAAGCCCACGCTCACTGTTTCCCCTGTCCCCTCTCCAACCAAGCCCCTTTCAAAGAGCAAAGCCATTTCCTTTGGCCATGGCCCCTGGCCTCAGAAACCCTGGGGGCTTCTATCCACCTGACCTTATAACTCAGTCTACTCTAAAGTGGGGAACTCCCAGCAGAAGTCAGGGAGCCAGGCCCACCTCCTGCACATGCCATGCCAGCCACTGGGGTGCTCTTCCTCCCCCCTTCTGTAGGTGTCCTTTCCATCTTCCCAGCTGCTTCAGCCAGGGGGCCTTACCTGAGCTCCACAGCCTCCCATCTGACATTCTGCTTTATTGCCTTCATCATGAAGGGGCCCCAACTAGTGCAAACGTAGGGCGATCTGTATTCCCCACCCTGCTTAGCACCCAGCATCCTGCAGTCTTCCTGCCTACTGTTCTGAGACGTTCCTCATGCTGAAGTATTAGTGTCTCAATGTGCCACCTTGAATAGCAGACTGGTCAAGGGCAATGCCTAACCCAAAGGATGGGCTGCTAACGATGGCCGTGCAGGAGGTGGGAGGCACTTGAGGGTACCCAGGCAGACCCG